AATGACAATTTCATATAAGACTGAATATATAAGATGACAAAAATAGAAAAAAAAGCAACAAAGGGTTAATGACATTGAACAGTTTTAAAGTTGTTCTATTTTCAAGCAATGAAATAATTTAAGGTAGAGTGAAATAAATAATAATATCTATATTGTTTTTTAAATAGAAAAAGTAAAAATGTAAAATTTTTAAAAAGTGAATGGAGGACAAAATTAATGAAATTAAATAATTCAAACAATGTGAGAGAAGGGAAAAAAGAGAAGAAAAGATTAGACAAATAGCAAATGATATACCTAAATGAAACTATGTCAGTAATTAAGGTAATTATAAGTGTAGTAAATCAACAAAAGCAAGAGAAATTATAATGTCATTTTAAACTAAACAACAAAAATATTAGCTAATTGGTCACAAGAAACATGTATAAATTAAGAATAAAAATTAAGAACAATAAAGTTTGAAAGTAAAATTATAGAAAGCATTATAACCTGCAAACCATAACCAAAAAGATATGAAGGAAAAAAAGAGAACTCTGGAATAGCTATAGGAGACAAATTAGACTTTAAGGTATGCAGCATTATTAGAACTATAGAGATATATTTCACAATAAAATAATTTTAATCAAGAGAAAGATATCAAAGCCTTCAATCTGTGTGCATCCAATAGCATGGTTTCAAATTGCATCTAAGAAAAATTAGAGGAAAAAAAGAGAAATGGAAACATCCACTATCATCTTGGAAGCCTTTAACATCTCTCTCAGTAAGAGACAAACAAAAATTCTATCAGGATATAGAAAATTGGAATGGTACAAGGAATAAACTGGAATGAAATTTACATATATAGAACACTAACCAAGCAGCTGAAAAATTTACCTTATTTTAAAGTGATTAGGAACAGTTATCAAAATCAAATATATACTGGCATTTTAAAGAAATGCTCAAAATGTTTCAAAAGATATGCCTGCAACCATAATAAAATGACCCAGATATCATTTTCAAAAGACGCTAGAAAGACCCCAATTCTTTGATAATTTAAAAAAAAAAAAAAAAAAAATCCTGCGCATTTTGATGGGTCACGGGTGAAACTTTTTTTTTCTTTTAATTTGTTTCAAACACAATTTTAATGATGAAAATACTATATAAATTCATATGTGTTCTCATGACAATGAAAATTAAAAAAAACAACAGCTCTCCCCTAAAAATATCACATCAATGCCAACATCTTCAGCAATATTTTCTTTTTCATTAACATTAGACATTGTCCAAACCAGTTAAACAATTGTGATGTTTACTAACTTTATGGGAAATACTGCCATCTATTGAACTTTTAGAGCTTGATCCTCCAGTATTACATGGCACTAAACCAACTGCAGTCACAAGTGAATTTACGTTCTTGGCAATTTGCTATCATTTAAGTTCTGGAGAAAGTTATGTTAGATTGATCTAACATAATGATAGCAAGTTTCCAAAAACTGAAGCTCACTTGTGGCTGCAGTGGGTGCAATGTAGTATTGGAGGATCAAGCCCTAAAGGTTGATTCATTGTGATTATTTGGCATGTGTTATGCTTCTTTCTGTTACTAGATTATTTACCTTACAAGAGCGATCCTCAATATAACAATATAATTCCTTCCATTTAGGATATAGAAGGTTTGTTTTGTAAACTTTCATGTAAAGTATTGAATTTTACATGCATATGGTTTGTGCAGAATAGTAAATGTCTGTGACTTTTTATCTATCCAAGAATAAGTTATGCAACAACCATAACCCAGAATACAGTTTTTAAAATCCAGAATAGGAAATGGCAGAATAAGACAGATGATCTTTAATAAAAGAACTAACACTAGGGAAGTTTATATCTTTAGATAGATTATTTTCTCTAGAAGGAGAAGTGCACATCATTTGTGTACTTTGAGTAGAATTTCAAGCCATAGATGGGCTGATTTGTTTTCTTTCACTATGAGTCTTTTTATTTTGTTTTGTTTTGTTTCAGTGGCTCCTTTTCCAACACCATGTAGCCCAAAGGTTAGCATGAATTTGAATCAAATAGTAGCTACCCTTGCAGTTGGGCATGCATTATCCAGTCTCTATATTCCTTTTTCACATTCCTGATACTGACAAGCAACCTGTTTCCTTCAAGCCATTTATCTCACTTGTATCCTAAGCTACTGAGTTTGTAACTCTCTAGAGTAGAGACATTGTAAAGCAAATTATTAGCTCTAATTTACTACCTCTCAAACACTTACTCAAAGCCTATCTACTTCAAGATAAAGTGATAACTAATTACCATGCAATATAACTACCCTAGTCACTTTCTCAAGCACGGTAGATTAACCATGGAGGAAAAAACACTTTGAGAGAACATTTTTTGCAAAATTTGTAGTGGGGGATGTTTATACAAGAGTCAATTGTAAGAAGTATAACTGTTTCAGACAGGTGATGAGAGAAAGAAGTAGAAAGGGCAACTGTAAAAACCTCACATTAAGAGACACAATTCAACTACTGGTTCCATTTGATGACAGGATGTAAATTTTATAGAATTTGAACTGTGTATAGACTTGCGCATGTCATGGTATTTTGTGAATACATTACCTTAAATCATTTCTTTTCTCCAAGCAGTTTACAATACTTCCCCACTAGGTACATAGCTGTTTATTTAATAAGTTGCAATTTATGGATAAATTAAAGAGCACTTCACTACAAGCTACTTTCGTTATGGTGACACCAAACTTTTGCAAAAGCAGCATTGTTTTGTTCAAAAGGAGTGCAAGATAAAGTATCTTTTAAGAAACCCAAAGTGTAAGCTTCTGAATGTGTAGTGCCTCCTTTTCAAAACTCTAAGAACACCTTGAAATGCAGCAGGATTTATATCTGTCAATCGTTCTACCGGAATGTTACTGACTGAAGAAAGATAGAACTCATTAGACACAATGAGTTAACTCAGAGAGTATACACTTATTCTGTCTGTCAGGTAAAGTGATTGTTTTCATTGTACACTGATGTTTCAACAATAACAATATTATTGATCAAAATAATAAAATTAGGAACAAATGTCTATTATATATCTATATTCATCTATATGAATAATATTCCTTATATCCATCACAATTAAAATGTTCTGTAAACCTCTAAAATCAGTCTTAACAAACCTGTAAATTTAATAATTATTTTAGGAAGAGATGGAGAAAAAGAGAGAGTGGGAGATGCTATGTGTACTACAAACCAGCATTTACTGAACCCTATGATGTACAACCTGAGTTTTCTGTCTATTAAGGCTATAATATGAATGTACATCTTAAAAATAGTGGCGGTAGAATCTATTTGAAAAAAAGATAGGCAAGTTAGTATCCTAAATTAAAATAAAGTTTATATTCTTCTGAGTCTGCATTATCACTTATTATCTTTTTTTAATCTTCAACTTCAATTGTACCAATCTATGAAGTAACAACATTTACCTCATGGTGATATATGTGTATATGCATATTGTTCGAACTAAGTGATAACATTGATACGAAGATTCATGCTAATCTGTAAAATGTTTTAAAATTTAATTATATTTTATGGCTCAATAAAATATGGACTTATCTGTGATCTATACTTTTTTCATAGAGCAAAGGCTACTTGAACGCACCAAGTAACATTATCTTATCTCTGGCATCAATATTTTAAAATGATTTTTTACTTAACTGTGACTATGATTTGCATGTATTTAATAATGATCTTTTAATAATGGTAGTTTGACAGAGTATTTAAATTCAACTAATTAACTCATTAAGAATCAATTATCAAATCTGGGCACTCACTGGGCTGAACACCTAAGTTTACAAAAACAATTCGATGTCTTCCTATCATAGGCTCTCATAAGTGGAAGGGGATCTATGTACCTGCAGAAATTAGTCTAACATGAACAAGCATGCAGAAGTGCTGTGCAAGAGGGAAAAAGGAGTGAGTATCTTCTAATTCTGCAACATGAATTTCAGAGAAGCTTGTAACAGGGATTTTAACAAAGGGCTGTGAACAAAGAAAAACTTTAGTTGAAGTAAGGATGTACAAAGTGTTATATTTTAGGAGGAGGCAGTATTCCATTGTGTCTAGGCCTGAGGTGTACTGCAAATGCGATTAAGAGACAAGAGATAAAGCTGAGAAAGGTGTTTCACGCTGGCTTGAAAAGAGCCTTTATGACATATCAAAGCATCTAATTTATGACAGTTTTTAAACATCATTTGTAAGATGAACATAAGAGACAAGTCCTCTGTAGGGTATTTCTGATTATTAGTGACTGCCATATAAAATGTTATCTATAGTATCTTCCATTTTTAATATACTCAAATATATTATAATTATATCCTTTACATTTGGAACATGTCATAAATCTGATCTCCCTCCAAACCTACAGGATTCATATCTCTCCTCTCTCCCCAAATTGCGTACTGAATTATGCTTTCTGTTTTCAAGTCTTATATTTTACTCTGAGACCCCATCTTATCATATTAGCTGCAACTTGCTTTTGGATAATGAGTGTGTGTGTGCACGTGTGTGTGTGCATGTGTGTGCTTGCATGCATGCGTCTTAATTGAGCGTTCATTCATAACATGAAGAGGTTTTTTTTTTTTTATTTCAGTCACAGAAAGTATATATGGAATAAGGTTGTATGAGAAGAATGTCCACATTAAAATACATTTTCAACATCCCCATGAATACTTTAAGAATACACAGCTACGGTGGCAAAGGCAAGGTGCCAGTTTTTAGTAACACCACATCATTTTTAATACTTAACTTGATGCCAAGTGAAACTCCCACTCTGAACATGTTCCCAGTTATTTCCTAGGTTCAGAAGACAATAGCTGGAGTGTTTTTCATGAGTCTTACATGAAGAACGGTGGCCATATAGCACAAAAACAGAACAATTCTACTTAAGGAAACAGTAACATAACATTATTCAAGTATTTCATCTTTACATAAAAAGATAATGATAAATTCAAATCATGGAAAACAAATACGTACTTTGAGGAAAGCGCGGTGGGTTGTCATTGACATCGGTTAAGGTGATGTTGACTGTTGTAGACCCCGAAAGCCCTCCAACTTGCCCAGCCATGTCTTTGGCTTGAATGACCACCGAGTAATGTTCTCTGGCTTCTCTGTCCATGTTATGTAAGGCCGTTCTAATAACTCCTGGAATAGATATGTTTTAATAAACAGTATGAGCTATATAATAAACAGGTATCGACAAACATACATACATATTTTAAGAAATGTCTTCTAAAATAGCATATTTTGAGGATAAAGCCACACGTCTGAGAAAAACAGTACCTTACCAATGCATGAATACTGTCTCTTTGAAAAATTTACTTATTATCCCATGCCTCAAACATCCTATTAAGTAAATTAAGATGCCTATCTCTCTGCATTCCTTAAATAGATGGTCCCTTGGCCCTGACATGGTGGCTCATGCCTGTAATCTCAGTACTTTGGGAGGCCGAGGTGGGCGCGTCACAAGGTCAGGAGTTTGAGACCAGCCTGGCCTATATGGTGGAACCCGTCTCTGCTAAAAATACAAAAAAATTATCCGGGTGTGGTGGCATATGCCTGTAATCCCAGCTACTCAGGAGTCTGAGGCAGGAGAATAGCTTGAACCCGGAAGACGAGGTTGCAGTGAGCAGAGATCATGCCACTGCACTCCAGCCTGGGCGACAGAGCGAGACTCCATCTCAAAAAAAAAAAAAAAACCAACAAAAAAAGTACATGGTCCCTCAAGGGCAGTCCTGACACCCTATTCCTAGTGCTAGTGTGCTGAACATTTTACAACTTGAGCTCCTCAGAAGTGTCAACTAAGATGGTCATATTGATTTAAGCAGAGGCTAATTCTCCTCTTTATAGAACAATTTACATAGCTTCCTGGCAGAGTTATCAATGTTTAATGATGGAAAACATTTGAGGAGTTTGGACACTTAAACAGAGATTGTAGGCAGGAGGCATCTTAACATGTATCAAAGACTAAGAAACTCACTATTTTTGTTAGAAAACAACTTTAAGGAGAACTAGATCTAAGTATTTAGGCAAAATAAAGAAACTGGTAAGGTTTATTGTATAAATCATATGTAAAAAACCACATTTTTTATCACAGTAGTGCAAAGGGGGACGTTTAACACACTTTTGCATGATGAACCCTTGGGTTGAATAAATAAATTAAAACTATTAAATACCATTTGTGATTATGCATACATAAACACCCACCTCAACATACATCAATTAAATAGCTCTGTTAATGGAGTCTTACATTTTACAGCTAAAAACACATTTTCTGGAGGATAACGCTTACTCAGGGGATATTAACTATGCCATAACATAGAATATTGTCCTCATGTCCATGAGATAGATTATAAACATGTGTATAAATATATGTATATTTATATGTACATACGTATTTATATGCCCATCTATATATGCATATAATTATAAAATATAAACATATTCGATCCTTTAAATATAAGTCATTTTTTCATAAACGTATTTTCATTAAAAATATTTTAATCATGTCATCTTTAATAAATACACCAATGACTTTCAATCAAACTCGCACTTGATTAGTTACAGTACAATTCTTAAGAAGTTGTCGATTATAACTGTTACCTATAGCCTTTACCAAATACTTTTACGGACAATATTTTCATTTATGAGAAGAAAGAAGTTATATATTTATGATAAAATAGCCTTTTAAAAGCAGAAAGGAGTATTCAATGACTTATTTTTTCACTTATTTTGAACATAAAAAAGTAAATCGCTATTTTCTTTTTTTATTGAATTGATTGGCTATGTAATAATGACTTTGAGAGGAGAGCCTCAGGTATCAGAAGAGAAGACCCCATAACTTTCATATATTGTGAACATATAATTGAGGGAATTCAGAAAAACTTTCCTGAAGCTAAATAGAAATGAAAATTATTCTTATCAAAAGAAATTATAATAATATGATAATAAATGATTCATCTAACTCATGCATATGAAAAAGCCTCAAGCACTCTTATTAAAAAAACAATGTTTTATCATGTGATAATTACATTAGTAGGAACTGAATTGATACAGAAATGAACAAGCAAATAATTTATGAAATTGCTTTATGAAAGAAGTTTATGTTTTCTACTACTTGAAAAAAGTAAAGCTGTCTTTCCTAAGGAGAATTAATTATCAGTGGGACTTGTTTTTGGTGGAGAGAAATATGAGATTATTGTCAAAGATAAAGGTTTACATTATTAGTTATTTAATTATTAGTGAGTTTTGCAAAATAGATATGTAAAGGTAAAACTAAGTATTATGAAGTGAATGACACGTATCTACAAACACCTCCAGGATGAAATGGGAAGAAACTGGCCAGCCAAATTTGCTCCTGAATAGAAAAGACCATATCCAAAAAGGACCAACACTTCTCTGAAAGGATTGTCTCGGGATTAATTTAAAATCACAACTCTCGGTTGGGCGTGGCGGCTCAGGCCTGTAATCCTAGCACTTTGGGAGGCCGAGGTAGGCAGATCACGAGGTCAGGAGATCGAGACCATCCTGGCTAACATGGTGAAAGCCTGTCTCTACTAAAAATACAAAAAATTAGCCGGGTGTGGTGGCGGGCACCTGTAGTCCCAGCTAGTTGGGAGGCTGAGGCAAGAGAATTGCTTGAACTGCTTGGGAGGTGGAGGTTGCAGTGAGCCAAGATTGCACCACTACACTCCACCCTGGGTGACAGAGACTCCATCTCAAAACAAAACAAAAAACAAACAAACAAACAAATCACAACTCTCTTGAGGATGGCCCAACTGCATGTGCTTAACTATGACCCCTGCTGGAGACATATAGATAATCAGAAAGTGTTATAGTCAAATTGCCATAGCAACACGATTTCAGTAAAAGATGATCACTTTCTAACCTGGAGCCCAGATGCATTTTCTGGGATAACCTAAAGTACAACTGATACACAGTAACTTCTTATTTTTCCTTTTAAATAGACTCTATTTAGAGCAGTCTGAGGTCCTTTCACAGTAAAATTGAGCAGAAAGTACAAAGAATTCCCATATACCCTTTACCTCCTCCATGAGCACAGCCTCCCTACTAACAGCTTTCCATACCAGAATGGTACATTTGCTACCATTGATGAACCTACATCGACACATCTTTACGATCCAAAGTCCAGATTTTACAATAGGGTTTACACTTGGTGTTTTATATTCTATGGGTTTTGACAGCTATGATGACATTAAACTACTTCGTAGTATCAAAATAGTTTTACTGCTCTAAAAATTGTCTCTTCTCTATCATTTATCCCTCCCCTACCCCAGCCCCTGGCAACCACTAATCTTTTTACTGCCTTCATAGTTTTGCCTATTCCAAATATCATGCAACTGGAATCATGCAGTTAGCCTTTCAGATTGGTTTCTTTTACTTAGTCATATGCATTTAAGGTTTCTTTATGTCTTTTCACAGCGTGGTAGCTCATTTCCTTTTAACTCTGACTAATATTCCATTATCTGGATGGATCACAATTTATTTTATTTACTCACTTACTGAAGGCCATCTACTTGCTTCCGAGTTTCAGTGATTAGGAAGAAAACTGCATAAATATCTACATATGGGTTTTTGTATAAACCCAAATTTTCAACTCATTCGGGTAAACACAAATAAGTGTGGTTTCTGGATTGTATAATGAATTTACCTGAAATTGTGAACAATGTTGAAATAAGTTAGGGGAAAATGGCAAACATTTATATCTTACCAATATTGTGATAAAAAGAATTAATTAAATTCAAGAGTAATTCACAGCCTATGTTCCATTCTCAATGCTTAGCATAATAGCTGTCTTTTGTTAATAGAATAAAATATATATTATGAGTCAACATACACCTACACCCTCACCACACAGATATATACATTGATTCTCCCCCACCCAAATTTTATGCACGAAGCTACATTTGAACATAGTGAAAACATCAAGCAGAATGATCTTTTTAATAAAAAATGGGTTAAATGTGAAGCTATACAGGCAAAATGATCATACGTAATGGTATTCTCAGGAAATGTTCAGACTACCTTGCCCTAGCTTAACTTTTCCAATGCTCCCTTTCATTTAAAACAGTGTGGCAGTTTGGACGATCAATTATTTTGTCACTCTAATTTTTAGAATATTGCTATTGGTTTTCAAACTTCTGTTTAAAATTATCCTGAAGTTTCCTCAATGATCAAATTGCTTGTATTCAGTCCCCAGAAATTTTGATTTAGTAATCTGAAGTGGGACTGGCTTACACATATCTCCAATAGACTATTGTATTAATCTGCTCAGATGGCCAGAACAAAATACCATAAGCTCGGTGGTTTTAAAAACAGAGATTTATTTCTCACACTTTCAGAAGCTAGAAAGTCCAAGATCGAGGTACCGGATGATTTTATTCCTGGTGAGGTGTCTCTGCATGGCTTGCATATGGCCACTTGCTTACAGTGTCCTCACATGGGCTTTGTTCTTTGCAAGCACTGAGAAGAGGATGGGGAATCTCTTTTTTTTTTCTTTCTTAATTTTTTTAAGCCACTATTTTCTTTTTTTTTCTTTTTTTTTTTCAGTGTCTTACCCATTTATTTCTATGATCCTTATTTTTTTTTAATTTATTTATTATTATTATACTTTAAGTTGTAGGGTACATGTGCATAACGTGCAGGTTTGTTACATATGTATACTTGTGCCATGTTGGTGTGCTGCACCCATCAACTCGTCATTTACATCAGGTATAACTCCCAAAGCCACTATTTTCATCATGAAGGTCTCTTCCTCATGACCTAATCTAAGCCTACCTACATTCCAAAGGCCTCATCTGCAAATACCATCCTATCTGGGGTTAGGAATTTAACTTATGAACTCTAAGGGAGTCGGACACAAATATTCAGTTTTATTTATGTGCAAGTGGTTCAAGACCATATGCTGAATAGACAACAATTAAAAAGGCAAAGTCCTGCCATTATATTTCCATGCATTTCTTCACACTTTTATCTTCATCATGTCATGCCAACAAATATATGTGTATGGGGATCACATAGGCACATAATATACAAAAGTGAAGTGCATTTTACTCAATTGTAAAAGCTAAGCCAATGGATAAAGATATAATAAATTATATATACATAGTCCAAGTAAGAAAATA